TGGATACCACCCCAGACATAGAAGACAACAGCCAAGTAGAATAAGGCAGCAGAGAGGCAGCTTCCCATTTTAACCACAAAATAGAGGCATAGACAAATGATGACATAATTAGGAAGTAATAGGATAAAGGATTGATCCTTCTCAAAGTTGGGAGAGGTGCCTGCTAACCATAGCCTAAGGTCTCAGAGATGGGAGATCACAGATGGAAGCAGCTTCCTCTATCTCCTGCTACCACTGCTACTCCCATCATTGCTATCAGCCCCTGCTGCCACTATCACCACCCTCAGCTTGGCTTTTGGGGTTGCTCCGTGTAGGTACTCCTAAGACAGGAGCATGAATCTAAGACCTTTTGGATCTCAAAACAGAAGTGGAATACAGAAATGCTCTATAGTTAGTCTCTGCATATGGGAAGTGACTGAAGCTCTTAAAGATGTGTGACTTCCACAGTCAGAAAATAATTGGACTTGGGGGGGCTGGCATTTAAGCCTAGCAATTAAGAGAACCTCACATTAGAGTGCTTGGCTTGATACCTAGCTCTGGCTCCTCATTCCTCCTCCTAGTAATGCAGACCCTGAGAATCAGTAGTGGTGGCTCAAGTAATTGGGATCCTGCCAGCTACATAGAAGACCTAGATTATATGTCTGGCTGCAGGTATTTAGGGAGTAATCCAACAGGAGCAGAAAGAGAGAGAGGGAGAGAGAGAGAATCATTAAACAGATTTGCTTATCAAATTGCTAAATATTAAACCTGCTTTTGAAGGAATCGCATGCAATAAAAATAAAGTCTTATTTATACAAAGAGTGGTATTTTTACTCCTAAGTATTTCTGGTGTTTCTACTCCTATGTATTTTTACCCAGTTCCACTTTTAGGCACAGTATTTATCCAGGAGATGAAAATGCAGTCCATATACAGACTTCTGTGCAGATATTAATAGCAGTTTATTCACCACAGCCACAACTGGAAACCACCCAAATGTTCGTCAGTTCGCAAATGGGTTAACAAATTATGGCATATCCATAATATTGAATACTACTCAGTGATAAAAGGATTAAACTAGTAGCACATGCACCAATCTCACTGGATTTCAAACATGAAATACTGTGTTGAAGATACTGCCAGGATCTGGAGGTAGAGGAAAAGAATTAGGTATAAAGGGGCGCAGGCATTTTGGGTCTGATGGAAATTACCTGCATCTTGATTGGACAGAACTTGCATGACTCTGTACAGGTATCATGGAGCTATACTTTTTATAAAGGGTGAGTGTAGTTCATTTGGGCATGAAAACCCAGACACAGGAGAAGGTTCTCAAGCTTTTATTCCCATTAGAAAGAACGCACCACAAAACAGGGAAATCACTTCTTTGGCCTCATAGGCTAAGAGCCAAGTGTTTGATTACAATTTGCTGTCAAGCACATGGAGGAGACTTAGTCTCAAGCCTCTGAGGATGCTGGAGCAAATTTTTCAAATTTCATATGCACAGATTTTTGACTCAGATGTCACTTGTCTCTTTTAAGGCTTGCTTCCTCAGGTAGAACATGTGCAAGAAAACTGTAGCTTATGTCACTATTCATCACAGCAACAATGCAGGGAGCACCCTTACTTTCTGTGAATTGGAGGATATTAATTTGGTACAGGTAAAGAAGATGTGTCTTAGGTATTGTTGTGAAAGGTTTTTGCATGTTAGATGAAAATAATGCACAGAAGGCAAGTAGAGTGTGCTTCTGTTGTGTTATGAAGATTTATGCATTCATACATATGCTTGGATGTGTGTTCAAACACATACGAACTCATGTTAGTGTTTGCTGTTATTATAGGAAGGACTTGTCTTAATGTATATGTAGTTGATTCTGTTAACTTTTATTAAAACCCTTTGTGTGTTAACCTCATTCAAAGAGAAAAAAGCAAATTTGCCAACATCATGATGTGTTGTTAGGAACTTAAGGAGACCATAGACAATTTCTCTCTCATTTTCTCTAGAGCCTCCTGCCCTGACTTTGTCAGGAAGATGATGGTGGGCTAGGAGGTTCTTAAGGGACTGATCCAGTGTGGCATTTTTGTGCAGGGCTCATTGCGACTACTTCCAGTCTATTTTCTATGTTATTTTGGATGTATATTGATGAGGAAATAGACTTACATGTTGCACTTGACCTGTTAGATGCCTTCTTTATACATGGCACTGCTCTGCAAGTTTAGAACCTTTCTCCTAAGCATGTGGTCATGTATGTGATCAGGAGACATGTACTGAGCCTGCAAGAAAGTTGGAAAAGATCCTTCTGCCACATGTTTAGATGGCCCAGGAAGCCCTGACCTGAGCGAGGGGAGCATGGGGGTGGGGGGTGGACCCACATAGCACTCTCTGAGAGTCGGTGGCCTTAGGGGCTATGTGCAGTTTAGTCTGGAGATGAAGTGAATTCAAATGAATGTGCTCAAGTTACCCGCCTTGCCTCATCAGTGCTATAAAAAGCCCCCCTAGGCAGGCTGCAATCTGACTCTCCTTTCTGTAATGTTACACGATATTCCTATGGTTACCAAGTTGGAATAAGTGGAAGCTAATCATTAGCTCGCTGACTGCGGTTCATGGAGCAGCTCACAAGTCCCAGAGCTGCCACCACCTCAGGTTTAGTTCGATGTTCACTCTTGGGTCCTCGTCAGGGTGTTCTTCAGAGTTGTGTAGAATAAGATTGGCCTAGTAGGCAGGAGTCATTTCACAGGGCAGCCCTCCAGGCACCTATGGGTGAGAGCAGGGGCTCAGTTTGGCATATATTCACATTTCTGGGAAGAGAACTCTATTAGTGGGAGATGTCAGATGAAAGTGTTTATACCACCCACAGTCTTGGTCTTGGGAAAGGCCCGCTACCCGTCTTTTCCGATGTTGGCTGTGGAACATTCTACTCTGTGACCCTTTCTTTGTCATGTGGTGAGAAAGACTTGGTCCAGGGTCACTCCTAACCAGGATACAGCACTCTGCCTTGTGGAAGTGTGTAGGTTTTGAGCTGAAGGCCTTATTTCTGTTGTCTCCAAGAAAATGTCAGGGTAACAAACAGAACAGGAGGTGCCAGCTGCCATTATCTGTACCAACTGGATGTGTGCCCTTACCTTGGGATTGCATACTAAATCCCTCAGCCAGTCATGAGTGTTTGACCTCTGCCTACCAGGCTTTTCCCAGTCAATAGAAAATAAGCTGTCCTCCCCTGTGACTCTTGCCCCTTGTCCAGCAAATGGGCTATTGGCTTTGAGAGAGAAACCGCTTTCTAGGTAGCTGATATTCCAGAGTTTGTGGAGACTATCTGAAAAAGAGACAGTCAGGAGGCTACCTCAGTTTACCTGATGTGCCCTGTCATCTCGGCATATGGGTTATTAAAATGGAAAATCTGACCTAAGCTGACTTAAGGAAGAAAAAGATGATTTATTGGCTCAGCTGAGTAGCATGGCATAACTCACTCCAAAGGTTCAAATGTGGATCCATGACCCCCTATCTCCTCTTCTTGCCCTCTGTGGGACTCACCCTCAGGTCTACAACAAAGAACCTGGCAGTTACATAACTTCTCTGGGCAAGCCCAGCAAATGACAGATAGCGCATCCCCTTGGCTGTAAAAGTGCTGAGGCTCACCAACAGTGGCCTGACCTTGGTCTCAGGCCCTTGCTAAACCACACACTGGAGCAGAGAGGGGTGTGTTCTTTGTCAGTCAGCCCTGAACTTTGACCCTGGTCCCTGGGAGAAGAGAATAAGTTAAGGAGAGCTTCCCAGCTGAAGACATGGTTCTGTGTAGAAAGGGAGCTGGTGCAGTTTCGCTGGATCTGTAGCCAGCAGGAGGAAGCCGGAGTCGCCCCGTGGGCTCTGCAATGGCCCACTGCTCTCCTGACAGTTTTGCCTTGTCTCGCCTTACCTGCCATGAGACAGGCTCTGTGTTCTGACTTGTGAATCATTTCCTGCTACCTATCCTCTGCCTTCCCAGTTTCACTCCTCCTGAGTGCTATTACTTGGGAAGATGAAGAATCATATCTCCCTTTCTCTTACCACACACGTTTTTTAAAGCACATGCATTTGTTTGCAATACTGCACAAGAGAGACCGGGCAAGCTTTCTCTGCTGAATCTAGTTGTATGATGGTGGTTCTCCTTGCATGCCTGGGCAATCTAGGCAATTCAACTTTCAAAAAAAAAATTAGGTCTTGGAATCAAATCGTTCACAGGTTAGCCTCAATTTAACCACTTTCACCCAACTTCTATTTTAAATTTAGAGTCTTTTCATCCAGTTTTCATTTGGGTTAGTTGTCATAAACTTTGGATCTTGATTTTGTTTTTTAGCGTGACATCATTGCATAATATAGGCATTGTTGATGCTGTTGACCATTCATTGCTATGTAAACAGCATGGTATCTTATCAAGGAATCACCATTATTCATCTGTCTTTGGACACTTAGCCTGAATCCTTTTTTGTCCTAGATTTGTTTGGGTATCTAATTTTTTTCATGCCTTATTTCCTGAGAATGGATATAAGAAACTGGGTTCCTGGATCCCATAAAGGCATAAATATTATGAAGATTTTTGATAGATACTGCTAATTTGCTTTTCCCAACTGTTGCATTTGGGACTGGTGTTGTGGTACCGTGGATTAAGCCTCTGCTTGTGATGATAGTATTGTGTATGGGAGTGCCAATATGAGTCTCAGTTGCGTTTTTTTGTTTTGTTTTGTTTTGTTTTTTCCCCTGACATAGCTCTTCGCTAATGCAACTGAGAAAGTAGTTTAAAAAAAATAAAAGTATGGTACATTATCTCTACTGCTTCCAACAAGTTATAAGATCAGTTTTGCTGTATTCTTCCAGTTGTAGCTATTCGGATTTTTAAGCATTGTCCCAATGTGATAGGTCACATGTGTGCCATTTTTCTTTTCATAGACAATCCTCTGGTTGCTAGCAGAGTAGAATGGTTTTTACCTGTGCTGGTTGATTAGATGTGTGTTGTGCTATGTTTCATGCATGCTCTTTTCTTCACGTTAGACCCCAAGACAGCATCAGAGACGGAGACAGACATCTGCGCTGAGTGGGAGATCAAGACCATCACTAGTGCTCTGAAGACCTACCTACGGTAGGGACTTCCCACTTACAGGCAGGAGCCTGCCCATATCAGGAAATGGCGGCGGGGGTGGGATGGGAAAGTGCACATTTATTTTCAGCCTCGGGAATGCTGCTGGGTGGGTGGCTGCAATGTGGAAACCATTGCCATTGTGTGGCTGAAATGTGGAAACCATTGCCACTGTGTGGGTGCATTTGGTTCAGCTAGTCAGTGACTGTAAGTCACCCCTGGGTGCTGGTTTGCCCTTGTGCAGTGGGGCCAAGAGTGATTGAGGAAGCTCAGCTGGGATAATTAGCGATGAAGAGAAGCTAAACTATGGCCTTCGCTGAGTAATCTGTTAAGAAAACAAAGCATCAGATGTCACATTCTGTTGAGAATGCATTGCATACCCCCTGTATTTTGGCAGGTTTGTGTGTTAATGCTGGTCCTTTAAAAGGAGAACTTGATGGGACTTGTTTCTGACTACTTCCACTTGGATTGTAAGACACTCACTGGAGAGACTATTTTCCTTATATTAATATATATGATATTACTACTGGTCTGTATCTCCCTTGGCTATTTATTAACGGGAAAGTTATGGACCAGCTCCCCACATCCCAGTTACCTGAACAGGGTAAGATTTACACTAGGCTCAAAGGGCAGGGGTGTACACATGCTGTAATTCTGCACTGCAGTAGTTATATATGGAGAGAGGGTGGTTGTCAGTTGAGAGAACTAGTCACGAATGCTTTAAACCTTTGAACAGAGTTTGTAGAGATGTGCTTGGTTAGAAAGCAGAAAAAGGAAGCCCATAGAAAAGGCCTCATCATATACATTTTGTTGATTCTTGGGGCAGTGCAGTTGTGTGTAAAATGCAGTGGAAGGGATGACAGTTGAATTAGGGAATCCGATGAGAATAAAATCTGGTCCAAGAATAAAGTACAGTCTGTTGAGAACTCTTATTTGGATTATCAAAAAAAAAAATGCAGGTTGGTAGTTGAACTTGTCATGCCTAGAGGGTAGAATTTATTGAATTCTAACTAACAGGGAATCCAACCCTCTGGCATTCTGGAGAACATTCCTGATTGAATTAATGACAGAACCACCTACAGAAATTTATGCTGGTGCTTTCAGATGAACTGATCCATCAAGCTATTGGGAAGGCAAAAATGCAGCACAAGTAATCCCAAACATGCAGTTAGTTGGTTCTTCGTCAGGTACATATGAAAATGCTCTTGTGAGTGTTTGAGTCACTGAAAAAGAAGTCTCTTGGCCTGTGCTAGTTTTTTATATTTGCACATTTCTGGTGACTTGGTCACACTCATCTCTTGAAGAAGAGAGGGACCGAAGAGTTCCAGTGCAGTGTCAGGACCCTTTCTGCAGGGTGTTGGAGCTGTCTGAGTGTCGTTTCCCTGTGCTGTTAGCCTTCAAGAATGGTCATGGGATTCAGCAGTCTCTGGGCTGCTGCTGAGTGGGATCATCACGACTGTATTACGAAGCTGCTGAATCTCTGTCTTTTTCTTCTAGAATGCTTCCAGGGCCACTCATGATGTACCAATTTCAAAGAAGTTTCATCAAGGCAGCAAGTAAGTTTCACTCTTGGTGCAGTTTTAAGAAGAAGAGATTACAATTTTCTATGTCAAAGAACAGATGGTGTCCCAACATAAATATTTTCTGGTCCTTCACATTCTGCTTATGAATGCCATTATATATATATTTGAGCCTCTGACACCAATTGAAAATGAAGCCAAGTTTGGAAGGATAAGGGTCTTGCTACCGCATTAAATTTACTGAGGAGGAGAGACTTCAGGGTGGTTGTTTTGTTTTGTTTTGTTTTGTTTTTGAGATGAAGGACGAGGTGGGTAGCAAGAGAGAGCAGAGCAAAGCAAGTTTGCCTTTCTGGTTTTGCTTTTTGGAGTTCTAATAAATTGAATTTTTCTCCCCCTCCAGCCTTTGAGTAGCATGTTACAGAATGGATCAGACATTGCACATTGCCTAAATTGAACATTGGATGTGGTTCCCTGAATATGACGCCATTTATATAACTTCACAGTCTCTTTCCATCATGTTCCATTTACAGCTTCTTATCATTCTTTAACTATATCATCCAGGTCCCTAGTGTCATATTACTCATCTTAAAATACATAGAGATTAGATGCAAGGTATACTGGAATCTGGCTATGTGGGGCAGGTCTTCTATAAAGGATCAGTTAGATTCTCTATCAGACTTAAACCTGGCTGAATCCTCAGAGTATTATTCTATCCATAGCTTAAGCTTCTCTGGTTCCATTTGGCCTTTCAAGTTTGTTTACCTTAGTAGGTCCTACTGGCCTAATTTAGTAGTACCTAATGTTCTGGTGGCCTTCTGCACTCAGTTGTCTCCTTAAAACAGGGATGAGAAAATCGTGAGAGAAGCTGGTAATGAAGATGGTGTTTATGTCATTGCACTCTCTGAGAAAGTCCAAAGCCATAGCAACCACTCTTTAATTAAACCTCACATCAGTTCTATAAATAAGCGTGATGAGTGCCGTCAATTCATTTTGCAGGGAAGCAAAGCCACTTCCCCAGGTTTATCAAGAGAACACAATGAGCCAGGATCCAGGTTATGTGGAGGCAGACACATGTAATCTTGTACCTACCGTAGCTTGCTTTCTCCTGGGCTGGTCGTCATGTGTAACTTGAGAATCATGGGTATTTCCTTCGATCCCTTTGATGCTGTCGGGGAGCGTTATTTTGATATTTGAGCCCCTTGCTATGCTGTGCACGTAAGATTTGTTTATCACTTTACAAGTGCATACAGTTCCTTCTTTTCTTGAAATGGTGTTGACCGTCTAGGGAGCCAGCTGCGCCTGCATGCCTTCTTGCCCCGGGTGTGCAGTTGACCAACTCCATTTCAGTGCGTCATCACTCTGGCATGAATTTTGTGATGGTCATTATTTTGCTGAACCTTGTTACAGAAAGCACCACTCAAAGGACTTCTAGGTCTGGTCGTGCCAGTCATGCAGTGCATATGCAAGATACCCTTGTAAATGTTTGAGAATGTCTCCATCTGTCAGTGCCAGTCTTTAGTTGCCCCTGATTTTGTCTTGTGAAGTGGTTTAGCAGTAATAATAATAAAGTGTTACCTTGCTCCTTCCTTCACAGAGCTAGAGAACCAGGAGACACGGGTCTCCGAAATCCACAGCCTGGTTCACCGACTCCCAGAGAAAAACCGGCAGATGCTACAGCTGCTCATGAACCACTTGGCAAAGTAGGTTTATGACTGATTTCTGGCCTTTTGCTCACCCTCAGAAAGTTCTTATCTTAGCAGAAAAGCTGGTCTTGGTTCTGCTTATGTTCCTGTCTCCCGCTATTGCATCAGGTATGCTGGAGGCTTAGGAAAGAAATGTGTGAAATGTTAACTGCAGAGGATTACAGCTGCAAATGCCAGATGGCCTTCACAGAGGCTGCTGGGAAAGCGTCCATAGAAGCAGGCCTCCAAGCAGCATTTGCAAGGGAATATTGCTGTTGTGATGATCCAGGGCCAACCACACTGAGTCTTCAGGGCTTATGTGTTCTTTTGGTGCTCCAGGACAAACATAAATACATGAGTTTACGGAACTTGGCTTTGGAGGATGGAAGCCTACATTGTAGGGCTGATTCTGTTCTTAAATTCTGGAGCCTTCTGTTCCTTACTTTCCTCATTTGTCAATTATGAAGAATAGATTTTGCTTTATCTGCAAAATCATGGACTTTAAAAGTTACTTTATTACAAATAAAGTCTTTGCAAAAGTGTCAAGAATGAAGGAATTGTTTTTGGCAAATCCCCCCTGCCATTTGTGATTATCAGAGCATTTGCTGGGAACCTGATTTTCCTGCTAAGGGTATTTATACTCTTGGAATGGTTTTCAATTTTTGTGTGCTTATTATTGCTTGATCCTTTAAAAGTAGCCTTACTGACTTCCCTCATACCACGCCCATTAACTACATGTAAGTTCTAGCTTTCCATCGACTTTGATGGAATGTTCCTGTTTGCAGCCTGGAACACTTAAGAGAACAACAAGAATATAGCAGTTAACCCAAATCATTAGGCTCTAAACTCTGAATTGTTAGGTTTTATACTTGGCCCTTGCCAACACTTAGCTCCCCTTTAAAACAATTCTTGGGATACATTGAGGCACATCTGAGGAAAAAGATTCTGGCTAGTTTTCGTATTCCTTTCAGGTCCTTGGTATTAGCTTTTGGAGAAAGACTGTATCGATACCATAAAGACTTTTAGGGATATGAAGAAGAAATAAGAATGTTTTCATTGTTGGTGAGAAGCAATTGAGTGGAGGCAAGGACTGCTCCATTATTAATCAAATTTTTCTCCTGCTGTGCCCTGTGAAAACTGCATGTTCAAAAATAAGTGTAACAGAAAGCATGTGTCAAGCATGTCAGTAAATTCTGATAAAATGTGTTTAAAACCATGAAAGCTTGACTTTAAAAAGTATGTGTGGATGCCCTGACATAATGGTTGGGTGCCTTGTCCACAACCCCAGGTCAGGCGCTTGTTAAACTAAAAAACTAACTTCCACCTGAATTGCAAAGTTTTGCACACTTGAGGGACATGCCCCCAGACAAGGAGGTTGTTGGCATACTTTCCAGCCCAGGATGCATGGGAAGAGCATGAGTGACCTGTGGCCCCTGAGTCTTACTGGGCCCACCAGCCTGCTGGGAGCAGCTAGTGGAGGAGAGTTAGGCAGCAGCCAAAAGCTGTGGGGTCCTTTCACGCAGTGCAGTTGAAATGAAAGCTTGATTAGACTGAGAGTGAATGGTGATTCAGTAGTCTATATTGGATTTTCCCATTTGTAAATTGCCCTGAGGATTGTTAAGACTATAAAAGAGGGAGAAATGGCTGAAAAAGACAAAGCTTTAAGGCAGATCTTGAACAGTTGAACCTGCTCCTCTCCTCCTGAGGCTTGGTTCATATTCTCTTCCTTTTTCACTCTTTATTCCCTTAATCTCATTGAGTTAGTCCACCTAGTTCCTATTCTAACACACAGTGCAACTGAAATATGCAAAGTGACCTTGACTTGCTGTCTTTTCACTAGTTCACACCCATTGTGGTTTTGCACTGATTTATTTCATAGCCTATCTGGAGCAGTACATCCTAGTTTCAATACTGAGCATGATTTCATTTGCCACTGTGGCATTTCTGTGTTCATTTAGTTATCAAAAAATCTACTTATGGGAAAGCTGTTAGGTTGTAATGTGAGTTAGTCTGAGCTGATGTTACAGTAGCAAGACTCCAGTGCTCAGCATGCTGTGTTTATCATCTCTAGAATTTAAATGTCCTCATACAGATGGATATAAATGAGTACTGTCACATGCAATGGAGATTATTTATTTAGATCTGAAGAAAAATTTTGGCACCCTGAGGAGCTCTAAGATTCCACATAAACTCTGCATGCTGATTTACAACCCCTCCTGACTTTAAACCTGACCGGGAGGGAAAAGTGAACTTAGGACAAGAGGTTGGTTTAATTGCAGTTTTCTCAGGTCACACATACCCTGGGGTATGCCTGAGCTTTTGTTCTTCTGGGCGGGCTAAATGGTCAGCTTCCTTCCTCAGTTTTGGTTTCAGGACTGATTCTGCTGGAAAACCCAGTGTTTACTTCTCTGGTTACCTACTGTTTGCCTTGTGCATCTCAGGCTTCAGCCTAAGAGGGGAGTCCTTGTGAATTGTGGGCTTTGTAAAGGATTCTTTTGAAAACATTTTCCAAAGTTGATTTCCTCTAGGTGTGGAAAAGTATCAAGGCATGGTAAATTTATTCCCAAGCAAAAAGATACCTAGCAGGACATTGTCTTGGGTGGTAGGGGTGGCAAGGAGAAGATACAAACTCCCAAGTCTCTAAAGCAAATGATGACCACCAGGACGCACCTAAGTTACAGAGATCTTGGGTTTGTTTCAGACCTCAGAGGGAACATAAAGATTCTAGGCAACCATGCACATATTTTTGTTCCCACTCTACTGTGATAATTAGATGTTTTGTATTTAGATCTTGGAATCAAGCATTCAGTCCAAGTCATGTGCCCCCAAGCATGGTTAGCATCACCTGGGAAACTCTGCATAATTGATTTATTTCTTTAAAAAAGAGTGCACTGCCTTTTGGGAGCTGCTAGCCTAGAGAATAGGCTGTATGTAAAGATGTCCTAGGAGAGAGAAATGGTGTTAAGAGAAATATGGGTGGGGATTTGGGAGGGTATTAGAAATATGAGGAATTGGTTCAGAACTGTACTTTTAAAATGAAGATTTTCTTGTCATGATTGAATTAGTAAAATAAGATTCTTTTTTGATTTCTCATCTGTGCAGCTTAACTCTGTGTTGAGTTTTCTGCAAATGACTTGGTTTTAAAGTCAACTTATTCAACATTGTAATTATGAGAACAATCATCCCTAGCTAACTTCTTGGGCACAGAAGTCTATTTCTTGCACCTCCACTTTCTGAGTTCCCTTCCCACACAGTTGTTTGATTTTGTGTTTTCATGCAATGGGGCAGTGGGGAGCAGAGCAAGAGAAAAAATTCTTAATCTTATGATTGTGGAAGAAAACAAAAGTAGGTGAGTAATAAAGACTAATTTTGTGGTTGTTTCCTAATGTTTACATCTTGCAATGACTTTGAGTATGTTGCATATCCCCACAGATGCCATTCGTAGTGGCTCATCATAACTTTGTTATGGTGTTTATAGGACTCACCATGCAAAAGGGATATCTATTAAAAATACCTTTTCACAGCTGGTTTTCCCCAAACACTTACCAAAGAATAAATCTTGGTCTCTTTCCTTTTTCATAGCAATTATTCCCTTGTTGCTAGCATGTTGTTGGAGAGGCAGAGCCCTATGCTGCTTCTCCAAAGCAATGTTGTATCATTTAGGATGCTTGAGGCTGTAAGAAATAGAAAATCCAATTCGAAATGGCTTAAACGGGGGCTGGCTCCAGGATATAGCAGGCTAAACCTCTTTCTGTGGTGCTGGCATTTTATTCAAGTACCTGTTTGAGTCCCTACTGTTCCACTTCTGATCCAGCTCCCTGCTTATGGCCTATGGAAGCAGTAGGGGATGGCTCAGTTGCTTGGGCCCCTGCACCTATGTGGGAGACCTGAAGAGGCAGCTGATTCCTGGATTTGGACATGCCTAGCTCCAGCGATTGTAGCCATTTGGAGAGTGAACCAATGGATAGATGATTCTTTGTTTTTCTTTCTTTCTCCCCCCTTCCTTCTCTCTCACTTTCTGTTTATTTTTTCTCTGTCTCCCCTCCCCCTTCTCTCTGTGACTTGATTTCCAAATAAATAAATAATTCTTGTGAAAAAATAGCTTAAACACTGAAGAGATCTGTTGTGTCATTACATACCATCGATCCTGAAAGGTGGGTTATTTCTTGTCTTGTGAAAGATATAGGCAATTTCTATGCTCCTACCCAGCCAGCCTCACTGTGTTGGCTAGCCCTTGTCAGGGTCTTAAGATAATAAGCATATCCTTTTCTGTGACTCCCTGTCTACAGGCAAAGGAATGCTCTGTGTTTCTTATTGAGTCTCTAGTTAAGAATTTTGACAATACTTTTCCTAGACATCTTCCACTAAAGTTTTTAGTCACATCTCATTGGCTGGAAGCAAGAGGAAGCCCCTCCCCCTTAATTGTTTTGTAACAGCAGGATCTGCCTAGGATTCCTGAGGTACATGAGTATCAGAATCAAAGCAAAGTTTTGAACAGGCAGCCCACGGTGTATATTGTAAGCGGTCTTACTTAAGTAGCATTCAATGGCTAACCTTGAGTTTATCAAGGGATCTTGGCTTGGTATGCTGACTCAGTCAAGGCATGTGGAACCACAAGGCCAATTTGGAGCAGAGATGAGTCCATCTACGGTATGGACACACATACACTCAGGCAAGATTTGGGTAGAGGAGCATGTAAGAGAGTATTGAAGGAGATTTGGTTGACTTTTATCCCATTCCCTTCTGCTGATTTCATAGTTCTTTCCCGTACCGGGTGCTGTGTTTTTTGCTTTGATCATCTGTTATATGCTATGACTGTTTGTAAAGGATTTGAGACTCTCAGGATTGCAGGAATCATGAAGGAATATTGTATGGCTAACGCTCAGGGAAATATAAGGAGTTGATGGACATAGAGTAGGATGACAACTCTATCATTTCTTTGAAGTCTGAGTCCCTCCAGACATCCCTGTGAATTGACTAGGATGTATTCATGCTTCCCTAATTATGTAGAAGCAATT